GCTCCCCTTGAGTCCGCCGCCTGTCGCTGCACCCCCGCCACCGATTCCCGTCCCGCCGGCTCCTGCTCCTGCTGCATCGGCGCCTCCCTCCGGCTCTCGTCTTCATCTGCCGCCGGTCCCGCCTTTTGCGGGAGTAGAGTTTGTAGCTGCGGGTGGTGGCTCGTCGGCGCAGTATTCCCACCACGATGCTGCGGATGGGCCACTTCTTTTCCTAATGAAGGCACTTCAGCCTCCGCAGACGCGTATTCCCGAGGCGACGCTTGGCCAGCTCCACCGACTCGCGGAGAGCCTCCACGCGTTGCTGCTGATTCAACTTCTTGCTCACTCGTCCCTCCCCGTGATTCCTATAGAGACTTTCCGCGGCCGCCAGCGTGACACGTGCTTGGACGCGGCGGACCAGCTCGCGTCGCTGCTGGCGCCCGTGTTGGCCGCGCCCGCGGAGGGTGGCGCTGCTGCTGCGGGACAGATTGACGAGGCTGTCCGGGGCTTGAGGAGGCACTTGCGCGCAGGATCTGGAGCCGCGGCGATCGGCGCAAGCACGCTTGTGGTCCGGGAGCTGTGGCGCTCCCTGACGGGCGTTCTTCACGCCCTTGGAGCTCACCGCATGTAGCTCACGCCCTTGGGCGTTTTTAGATGCCCGTCCCAACAGCCTGGTTCTTCACGCCCCTGGGCTCCGACTGCCCCATGATTTCTTTCTTCCTGCTAGTTTGCCGTAAGACTTGCCATGCGTGTAATGTCTCCTAGTATAAGCAACTGTTTGTCATTTTATTTGCCGTCCCCTCACGCGGCCGGCGGCCGACGCGAGCGGAAAATTTCGGCCGCCAACTGAATAATGAGGAAGAGAAGGCTAAGATGGGCCCTTAAATAGCTAGGCAACCGAGGGCAGAGGCTAAGGGCAGAGGGCAGAGGCTAGTCCTCTCCCTCTCTCTCTCTCTCTCTCTCTCTCTCTCTCTCTCTCTCTCTCTCTCTCTCTCTCTCTCTCTCTCTCTCTCTCTCTCTCTAATGGTCCGCATATTGATAGAGTTGGAAGGTACAGACATGCAAGATATGGAATGCGGCATCTAGCTAAATAAACAAACAGACAAGACCCTCCAGTCACACAACTATCACACCACCGCCCTCTCTAGAGCTCCAGAAACGGCTCAACAACCGCGAAGCAGTCCCCAAGGTGCAGCTCCTGCCCTATGCCTCCCACAGGTGGATTTTCTGCCGCTGCTGCCTCGCCCAACTTAAGGAGGAGTCCCACGGATTGCGCTCTCTGTAAGGCCACCGACCACCGTTGCCTGAATTGGAGCAGAAACTTGGCGGCATAGTAGGATTTTGAGTCGGCGTTGAAGTGGCGCCGAGCCGCTGTGTCTGCAAAGAGCTTGAGGAAGACCGGTACCTCGGCACAGGGACAGCCATAGGTGTCCACCGCCATGGGGAAGAAGCCAACCGTCTCGGGGCGGTTGGTGTAATGCTTGATTTTCTTGTCGGCATGTTCTCGTGCCGCCCATCCCCTGCCCTTCTGTGCTTCCGGGTCCCTAGTGCTGATAGGGTCAGTGATGGTAACGTCGCAGATGTAGACCGCTCCACTGCTTCTATCGGTCATGGTGAAGTCAGCCGTTTGCTCCTCGATAGGGCAGTAGGCGGCCGACTCCCTGTGTACTATAAACCCCGCATCCTGCGCCATGCTAACGCAGGCGTCCCGCAGCTCATTGTGCGTGTTGATGCAGTGCTTGCCTGTGCCGCAACGGAGCAGGTGGTTCAGGAGGCGGGGGTCACTGATAGCCGTGTGGTCCGCGTAGTCACAGTTCTTGGGAGTTGAAAACGGTAGGCCAAGTCGGAAACGAACAGCGTTGGCGAAGTGCACTGGCCCTATCCGCCTTGCGGGAGCGATGGGGATCGCGGTGAGCCAGTCGCCTGTGCCGTAGCCAGTTAGTGAAAACATCCGCTGCGTGTGACCTGCAAGAGGATTCGGCTTCATGCGCCTTGTCGTCTGCACCTGCTTTGCGTATCTGCTCCCGTGGACCTTGACTCCTAGCACGTGTTGGAGCCGGATGTCAGAACGCTCAAGCCGCTCCTTCTCCAGTATCTCCCGCGCATCTAGCGACAGCGCCTCCTCGCACTTGGTCAGCCATGTGTGTAGCGGCGTGCTGTCGTCCCGCGGTAGTAGCATATGGTTACGTGCTAGAGTGAGAGCGTTATCCTCTTCCAGCGGCAGGCAGCTGAGATAGAGCGCCGCCTGTGTAAAGCTGGCCGCGAAGCCATGTCTTAGAGGGCTGCAATGTCCCGATTCTCTCTCTCTCTCTCTCTCTCTCTCTCTCTCTCTCTCTCTCTCTCTCTCTCTCTCTCTCTCTCTCTCTCTCTCTCTCTCTAATGGTCCGTGCATTGATATAGTGGAAAGGCACAAACATGCAAGGTATAGATGCTAGAACTTAATCATACAAGCAAACAACAATCAGCTACAATCTAGAGCTCCACAAGGGGCTCAAGAACAGCAAAACAATCCCCTAGGTGTAATTCCGACTAGGTCCCCCCCACCGGGGGGTTCTCTATTACAGCCGCTTGGTTGGATTTCATGAGGTATCCAACAGACCGTGCCCACAGCAGCGCCACTGACCACCCCTGCCGAAATTGGTGCAGGAACTTTGCCGCTTGAAATGACTGGGGGGGAGCATTGAAGTGGTTCCGTGCTACTGTGTCAGCAAGCAGCTTCAAGAATACGGGCACCTCGGCACACGGGCAGCCATATGTGTCGACGGCTAAGCATCGCGAAAGTTGGGTTTCTGGTTTTCCAACCGAAAGCCAGTCGTTGACAACTGGAGGGGTAAAACCAATCGTTAACGCCTCGCAAACCTGTCCAGTTGGCCAGTAGGTTTCGACATCCCAGTTTTCGGGCGGCTCATTTGCGTGTTGCCAGGTATTTCATCGGGATGTTGGTTGACACCAACCAATCACTGAGACACGGGAGGCGAGCCTCCGGCTTGGCTGAGGTTGGGAAATGCCCCAGACGCTAGAGAACCAATCGTTTGATTGGAGGTTCCGAGGTTTTGGGGCTTCGACAATGTGGGACGAAGACATCGTATGGGTGACCTGTTAATGAGACATTCAGGCACATGTACATGTGGCATGTAGAACGGGAATGGATTTCAATTTGATGCTGGTTCTTTAATAGTGGCCATTATTTATTTCAATGTACTTATTGAGTGTGCTATGAACGGTGAGTTACATGTATGCGAAACTTGCGAAGATAATTTACCCCGTGAAGTATAAATGATATGAGTGTAACAATGTTAATTAGATTATCACATTCAGAGATTGGTACATAAAATATGTATATGCTGGACTGTAACCACGTGTTACAGGATTTGTCAAAGGAATTGGCGCGCGAAATGGAAGTGTTAGGACGAGGCACCTCCAGAAGTTTTGCAGTGTCGATTGCACGATCGCTGATTGCACCGCGCTGAATGTCTCTGAAAGCATTCAAAATTCACTACACCATTTATTACTCCGCAAAAAATCGAACCTGCGCAGGTTCGGTCGCAGGTACGGTGATACAAGGGTCAGGTCCTTATCATGTCGGTGGGCTGGGAGGGAGGGTGGCGCGGATTTGCAGGTTGTAGAGAGGCGCGAGAAAATGTACACGTGGCCCGGTTTCCACGCGTGTGCACTATTACACTCGCATCAATTTCGTCGATCCAAATTCGATCAGTCACCGCACTGAAAACCTGCTATTACAGTCTAAAACTTCCTGACCTTTTTAAAACCCTGCTATGTGTTAGGTCGCCTTCCTGCGAACTTCGGACAGGACAGCCCCCCAAAAGTGCACCGCAGTGGTTCCAGCGTGGCAGCGCAAAAGATTCCCATACCCGCTCACCGACGTCCGGATTCACCCCCCCCGCCACCTCATCACAAACCCCAGTGGTTTCGCACGTGCCGAGTGCACTTTTCGCTGTCGGAACTTCGAACTTCGGACAGCCCAGGATTGCGATCTTAATGATCAATGGACACGATTGTCTCCATTCAGATTTCAGGCAACGCACATTACCCAATCACAGGAATTCGACGGCAGAATGTGTGTGTGAGGTTGACCCAGGGTGATGCCGTGGCAATATAGTATGGTGAAGAAATGACACCGTGTCCCGAAATTGACGCGTGGAGTTGCACAGTGACTCCGACAGCACAGAATTACCACCCAATCATACCCAACAGCGAGATTCAAGGCGAGTCATTTTCATTTCATTTTTCCTCAATACCCATCCCGACCTATCTGGAAACTGATTTGGCCGTTGTAGAACGCGAGAAATCCCACTAAGCCGCATTCAAACGAACGAAAAAGTCCCGCCCTCAGAGTAGGTGAAGGTGCATCCCCAATGTTTCTTCTGGTGAATCCCACACGCACCCTTCCCTTTCTCCCATTCACAGATCCAGTTTTTTCGTCATTCAGCTGCTCCATAGCTGTTTCACGCACCTTCCCTTACTCCCTCCACGTCGCCTAACAAAAATAGTTTCACAGGCTCAGTCTAGCTGGCGCCGAGTGCACTCTTTCTCTCGACATCATCAATCCGAAATCGCGTGCAGGATATTCTCAGGTAATCAGAAATCCTTAGCATTTTTTTCATGCTTATTTTTTATTTTCCAGATCTGTAGTTTCTGGTGTTTTGCTGCTACCGCACCTAAATTTCGACACCTAGAGGTAAGCCAGCATTGCAGGGAGCAATAATACATCGGTGCTCTGCTTATCTTGCTGAGATGTTCGTTTTTATTTTTCTTTTTTTCCTTTTATGGATAACTGTATATATGAGTAAGTGACGGGTTTCGTGCCTTCCAGGCTACAATCACTAACATTTCTTATGGCATTTCGTGTACCTGCAGGTCTGCTGAAGGTGTTTCAGCCGAAGATTGTTGCTTAGGGACTTCTAGATTTAGGCAGTTTGAGGATTGTGCTCTGAGTTTTGTATATCATATACACTTGCATTATATCAGTTTATACAGTTGTCAAGATCCTACTTGGCAGAATGGAAGTAGGGGGGCATTATCGATGTGATGTGAAGGACTGCATTGCAAAATTTCCTACTTCGCTGGCAAAGGCATGGCATATGTCGAAGGGAAAGCACAAGTTCAAGGCTCCTGATGCAACTCCAGAGCTGAGAAACGAAAGCAGCCAGGGCGGAGCTGCTGAGGCGCTCCAAGCTGCAGCAGAGCGCATTCGCACGAGAACAACTAAACGTACCCGCAGTGAAGCGCAGGCAGAGAGTAGTCGCATGGCAGAGGACGTGGGCGCTGCAGAGATGAACGAGGACCCAACAGGGTATCGCTTCTCCTCCGGTGGTGACACATTGAAGGTGGATCCCGACGCACGCGTATATCGTTTTGTAAGGACGGCTGCAGGAGGTTCTGGACTCTCAAGGGTGGATATCAAGGAGTTGATATCCATCCTCATAGAGGTGTTGAGCAATCCCGGGCGTCTAACCATAAATTCCCTTGCCGCATTTGATGGCTACGAGAAGTTGCAACTCGCCGATGCCAATTTGCACCCTTTCGAGCAGGTTAATCTTGCGAAGGAGGGGGATTTGGAGCCGGTGATAATGTGGCGTCGTTCTGCACTGAACTGCGTGGCAAGCCTATACGAGAACGTGGCGAACGCGGACGGCTTCGTTGTGAAACCACCGCCACCCAACAGAGACCCTGAAGCTAAGCGCATATACAAGGGTCCTGAGACGGGAAGCTGGTGGCGAGAAGTCCTGGCCGAATTGCCACAAGGGGCGTTAGTGGCTGCGGTGATTATATACTCCGACGAAACGACACTCACCATCGATGGAGGACTCAAGGGATGGCCAGTGTACATCTCACTGGCCAACATTGCTTCGGGTAATCGTTGGAAATCGCACGGCCATCGACTTGTCGCTCTGTTACCCGACGACGACGGCGGCTTCTACGCGAAAGGGAACGAAGAGCGTCGGCGGCTTGAAGTGTTCCAGGAGGCCCTGAATCTCATCATGGAGGACTTGAAGGCCGGGCAGTACAAGTAAGTGCGTTATTCACGCGATTACACCTTGTTTTATGTATGCAATGCTCGCCGATAGATACTCGCGCTTGTGATGTTTCACTAACGACGAGCTGCGTACATTTTTATTGCTTGTGCAGCGGTATGATACTCACGGACCCATATGGCATTCGTCGAAAGGTGTATCCAATGACGTACGCGTACGTCGCTGACTACCCAGAGCAGTGCAAGGTCGCTGGAACCAAGTCGGGCATCAAGACAAAGTTCCCATGTCCGAGATGCGCCGTACCAAAGGAGGAGCTCAACAACATGGAATATCCATTGGAGTACAGGAGGGAGGAGCATCAGAAGCAGCTTGTGGGCGAGATGGAGCGTGCGTGTACGAAAGAAGCGCGCACAGACCTCGAGCGTGCACACAGTACCCACTGCATTCATGTAAGTGACGTCGCGTTTGCGCCTAGGGTTTCGATATGCTGTTGCATATGTTATGCAATGGTGTTGGTGTGATGGCTGGGATTCTGACAGGTAATTTATCACAACCCATCCGTTTGTATATGTGCAGAGCGCATTGTGGGGACAACGATTTGCTGATAAGGATTTTGCCAATCCTTATCGGCAAATCACATCCGACTTCATGCACATGTCGCTGCTGGGTGTGTACAAGCACATCTTAGAAGGTCTCAAGTCGAAGCTCAGTACAGAGAAGCTCCAAAAACTGGATGCCGCGCTCAAGACCGTCACCCAGTATAGCAGACAGTCATTTTTCCGACTACCGGCGCACTCCGACGGATACTTCAGTGGGAATAGCACTTTCAAGGCCTTCCATCATCAGGCAGTCATGCAAGTGCTACCAGTGCTCTTGTTGATGGTCAAGGTGGATGAGAAAACGATCCGAGCAGTGGAGTTGTTCTGCCACTGGCACTCCGAGGCGTGGCATCGGACGTACCACGATGACGACTCGTTGGAGAACCTCGACAACCTCACACGCACGTGAGTAAAAGTGTTTGTGATTGCTTGTCGTCCGTACTTGCCGCTGTATGGTTGTTCGGTTGCATCCTTAAATGTTTTCCTGTATAGTAATGTATCACTGATCACCGTTTACGTACATATACGTGCAGGTTGGTACCGATGCTCATGACGGAGTTCGAGGCCGACCAGAAGTCGCACTTCAACGTCCCCAAGATTCACGCGATGCTGCATGTTACCGACGACATCAGGCGGCGAGGCATCCCAATTCACTACTGCACGGATGTATATGAGCATGTGCACGTCGCCATAATGAAGCGGCCGTACCGCGCGTCGAACAAGAGGAACGCCGAGGCAGCGATCACTCAACGCTGCCTCATTTCCGAGCTACTCGAGAAGATGACCGCGTCCATCGAGGAGGCCAGCGACAATGAAACACGATGCGTTGCTCTGCAACAGGTTCGTGCATTGGGGTGTGTGTGTGTGGGAGTGTGTGTATTTGTGGGTGTGTGTGCGACTGTGCGTAAGTGTATGAGTGTGTGTGCACGAGTGTGCGCGTGTGTAGGGTGTGAGTGTGTGTGTGTGTGTGTGTGAGTGTGTGTGTATGTATGTGGGTGTGTATGTACGGGTGTGTGCGAGTGTGTATGCGTATATGTGTGCGAGTGTGAGCGTGTGTGTGTGTGTTTGTATGTGTGTGTGCCAGTGTGCGGGTGGGGATGTGTGTCTATGAATATGTGTATTTGTACGTGTGTGCGAGTGTGTGTATGTGTGAATGTGTGTGTATGTATGTGCAAGTGTGTGTGTATGAGTGTGTGCGAGTGTGTGTGTGTGTGTGAGTGCGAGCATGTGTGTATGTGTGTATGCGAATGCGAGTGTGTGTGCGAGTGTGTGTGTGTGTATGTTTGTGTGTGCGAGTGTGTGTGTGTATATGTATGTGCAAGTGTATGGGAGTGTGTGCGTGTGAGTGTGTGTGTACGTATGTGTGTGTGAGTGTGCGTATGTGTATGTGTGTGTGTGTGTGTGTGTGTGTGCGTGAGAGAGAGAGTGTGTATGTGAGTATGTGTATGTGTGTGTGGAGGGAGTTGTATGTATGGGTGTAAGTGTGTGTGTTTGCACATCCGTCGAAGATTACACGAGGATCTGTTTCTCTCATTACCTGAGATCTAACTCTAGTTACTGGCTTTATTCTTGTGAGCAGGCAATCGAGAGCAGACGTCCAACAGTGTCAGCATCGTCATCACGACTGGTGCTCGGGGATTTAAACGACAAGAACTTCAAAGCGTACCGGGCGAGCGTTCCGGCCGACTTTCGACTTCTGGAGGGGACCATTAAAGCGTACCTTAATGGAGAGCATCCTAGCGAGCGTACTAAGGTGCACTACCATCGCGTGATCGAGGTGCACTCTGGTGTCGCTGTGCCGCCTGACGATGATTTCACGAGGTATAGTAGATACCCGCAGTATGCACGCGCTACACCGATGTTCTACGGGAAGCCCTGGTTTTCCGATGTCACAATCGAGGGCGAGGACGACAACAATATCAAACAGATTTGGCGAGCCAAACTCCTTTGTGTGTTTACGCTGCGACGGACAGTGGAGACGGTTGATGTTTCCGGCGACACAACGGAAGAGCAGATTACGGAGCAACTCGCATTCTGCCGTTATTACAGTGAGACCGCACAGTCTCCGACGACTGACATGAAGTCACTAAAGTGGTGGCCATCAGGCCGTGGTTATGGGGTGTTGCCGGTTGAGAGTATATTGCGTGTGATTCATGTTGTACCCAACACAGTAGATCCGGCTCACCCCAACGCAAAATTTATCCTGAACCATTTTAGATGGTAGGTTGTATATTCTGTAAATATTGTAGCTAATTTTTGGGCACAAAATAACTGTTATATGGCTTTGCTTGAATTAGAAAGATTATATAAACTTTAGGTATAGCCATACTACACCCTTTCACATTTTGGTAAAGTTGGATGCGTCTGTGTTTCTGAACGCGAGTTAGCTCCATCGTGTTCAGAAACACAGACGCATGCAACCGCTAACATCGTGTTCTGTGGTTGGATATCAACCGCTAACATCGTGTTCTGTAAACCGGTAACATCGTGTTCTGTGGTTGGATCTGAACCGCTAACATCGTGTTGTGTGTACCGCTAACATCGTGTTCTGGGGCTAACATCGCGTTCTGTGAACCGCTAACATCGTGTTCTGTGAACCGGTTAGCGGTTAGATGCGTCCTTGTTTCTGAACACGATGTTAGCGGTTGCATGCCTCGGGCAGCTGTGCAGTACACACATCTGTACATCGTGAACATCGTGTACTGCACAGCTGCCAGAGGCACTGGCGACAGCTCAGCGAGTAAGCCAGCTTGAACAACTGGCCAAACATCTGTGATTGGTTTTTTTTGGCCTTTTATTTTGCACGGCGACAGCTCATCGGGTAAGCCAGCCTGAACGACTGGGCAGACAGTTCGGCTGTTTTGTGTTTTTTTCCTTTTGCCCTCTATCATTACTGTTCTAGCTGCCCGAACAGTACAAGTATTGCTGGAGCTGTCTTCATTGGCCTTGCAAGTGTACTACCGCGGTGGATTATTCCATCGTGCGGGCAGAACAGCTGATTTCCCAGTCCAACACCTGCTCCACGTCACTGCTACACATTACCCTTTGCTTCGTGGAACTGCCCGCGACATGACTAAACCTGTCTGCATGGATGTGTAAAGTTCCTGTCAGCAGGAAAATGCACCGCGTCAACACTTTGCTTGCTTCACTGTTTCAAAAGCGACAAACGAGGCAATACGAAATTCAGAGCTACACCTGCCCATGCACAGTTCGAGTCCTCCAGCGGGGCAAGAAGAGAAGATTCCAGTTGTGCAAGGTCGGCGAATCCGCCGCGTTGTCACGTGATTCGAGGCAGACACGAACCCCACCTTCCCCTCTGCTACCCCCATGACTCTCTGCATCTTTAGTACCCTCACACACCCTCTCTTCCCCCTCTCCCTTTCCTTCTCCTCTCAAACGACCTCGTTCCTGCTCTGCCTTCGTGTCTCATTTTGGAAATTCAAATTTCGAGTTTCAAAGTTTAACTTCCCTCCGCCTTGGCCGAGCTTATCCGATCGCGCCCCGTCCCGAGCCTTATCATTCACGCCCTGCTGTCACTCGTTTGGTGACCCAATGACATGACGGTGCGTTTTCTATCCCGTTTTAGCCTTTTTTTTTGTCGTCGAGCCGCTTCTGCTTGCGCTCTTTATTATCACGGTCCCGCGTATTATAAATACCTACAGAAGCGTGTTGCTGGCGACACGCTTCCGTAGGCTGCTACACGCTTCTGTAGGCTATTAGTCTCCTGTAACGATGGCCCGCGGCAATCCGAAAAACTTAGTCCCTCCCGCTATGATGCATTTGCAGTCTCGGCCCTCCTTGCCTCGTCTAAGCAAGGAGAACCACAAGTACCTTTCGACCAACGCTGTCTCAGGTACTTAGCGTTAGTAAATAATAGTTTCTTGAATCGTGCTTTCGTATGTGATGTTTTGAAGTGATTTCTTTTTAGTTATTTTGTTGCAGGTGTTGCTGATGTAGCTGACGATGCAGCGGACGAAGCTCAACCCAATCGCCGACCCACCGGGGCACGGAGTCAGCAAACTCGACGGAGCCAGATTGAGAAATCCCCCCCAACAGTCACTGGTACGCGGGCGAAGGACACGGCGCTCCCTACGGCGACAAATCCCGCCCTTCACCAACAGCCTGTCGTCACCTCTGCTTCGCCCGTCGAGACTTCTCCTGCCGGTTCACCTGAACGCAATGGTGAACGTCGTTCCCCTGCTGTAGCGACGGTGGTTGCAAACGTCGATGCAGCCGTCGCTAACAAACAAGATGCTGCTTCTGCGGGTGAGTGAATGTTTATGTGACACGCTTCATCCGTGCTTACACTTGCTAATTTTGCTGTTCTGTTGCGTCTGTTCTCAGCCCAAACAGGCAAAATTGGAGATCACCCGATGGAGTTGGCGATGACCCGGGCGATAGGGGAGGCTTATACTACCAATGCTACGCGTTTTCGCGAGGAGGGACGGCAGCATCTGGAGGTGAATGACGAGCTTCAACTGAAGGCTGACGACCAGGAAAAGCAGAACGTGGAGCTTCGTTAGCAGCTTTAGAAGAGGGACGCGGATCTGAAGGATGCATTGGCGCTGTTGAAGCATCTGGCGGAGAAAATTGCCGATGATCAGCTCGCCAAAGTGAATTGGCGGGTGAGTATTGCCCTCATTTTTAAGTCTGCGCTGTTTACAAACAGTCACTAATGCGATGTGATTTTTTAATTTCAGGTCCACATCAAGGAGTCGTGCGACGACTTCCTTTTCAAGCCGGATACGCTCAACCTGTCACCCGATCCTGATGCGATGCTCGCAGCTTTAATCAGTAAGTGACGGTCAGAAACTGTCGCGTTCGTTTTTCATTGTTTTTTACTTACTCGTCGTCATTCGTGTTTTGTGCAGAGAAAGCTGGTTACATCGCTGAGTCCCCTCAGGGCTTGAAGCTCGATGCCTTGCTGAAGGTCAATGGCATTTTGAAGCACGCGTGTGTGCGCTTCAACGACCGGATCGGTAAAATCTACCGATTCTGTCGCCTTTATGCTCTGAGCCTAGAACCATGCGTTTTTATGGAGAGGAAGCGGAACTTCAAGGGAGAGCTAACCCTGCAGGTGCCTGAGGACTTACTCATGAAATGTGCTGACTACGTTGAGCGTTACGCCGACAGTAAGTCATTGATGTTTTTTTTTATCGGTTGCATTAATTGGGTTTCGGGATTAACGTCATGGCATGTTCTGATGATGTTTTGCTCCTTGCAGAGTTCTTGGGGATTCCCTGGCACGTCAACAGGAGAGGCAGTCCGTTTTCCAGCCCTGCCTTCGTTAAGTGTGCTTCTCTGTGGGATTCGAGTGGCGCCTTGCCAATTGGTTTATTTCCTGTTCAGCTGCTTGTCATCCTTGCAGCGGTAAGTTTAACATGAGCACTTGATTTGCCTTTCACATTGTGCAATTTAACAAGTGTTGATTGCTTTTCTTCGTGCAGGTGAGGTTCAAGTTCCGCCATCCTGGCGCCACGAAGGCTCAGTTGGATCGGTCGGGGGATCCTGGTGCTCTTGCCAGGCAGGCGCGGGTTGTACAGCGCTGGATCAACAGCAGTGACGTCACTCGCACGGACGACTGCCTTGGGATCGGCAAGGTCTGCATCGTTGGTTGGAAGGATATTCCAGAGGAGGAGCTGGTTGCAGACGAGCATGGTGACCTTGATCTGGATGAGCTAGTGAGCGAGCCGGGCTCGCAGGAGCGGGATTATGATGAGAATGAAGAGCAGGAGGAGCTTTACGGGTGACCTGTAGTACCAGTGGTAGCTTAGGGCTGTTTTTGTAGGTATAGATGAGTTTGTAGCTAATGATAGTTTTTGGATTTGTTTATATGTAAGCTTTTGACCCTTTTAGTGTATTGTTTTCTCTATTTTTTATAATGTAGAATTGTAGGCTGTACTGAATTTCTAAAAATATCGGTAATTGTTTTAGTCAATAACTCTTTATTTTGCTAGTTTACTGTATCCTTACTGTACCTATTGACATTACTGTTTTCGAAATTCGCTGTGTTCATCCCTCCTTAGTATCACGTTTTAAATAACGGGGAAAGAAATGTAGGATTAAATGAACGAGTCCGAAGACTGATAACGAGTTTCCTCTTCTAAACGAGTGCGCGTCGGAATGTATTTGGACGGCCCGGCAGCCAATAGAAATAAAGTTGCAACAAATCGTCACGCGCCAGGTGTCCTGTGCGTGTTCGCTTAAATTTCCCGAACCAAGTCGGAGGGCTTGGGAGACATTCTCTGCACCAGTCGATCTCTTCTTGTCAGATGTATCGGAAACCAATCGCAATTCGCGGGAAAACGCCAGGAGTCGAAAACCACTCGGCAACAACTCGTTCCCAACAAGTTTCCCACACCCCCCGAATTGGCGATGAGGGGAAGAACCCCACCGAGTCCGGCCGGTTTGTGTAATGTTGAATCTTCTTATCCGCCGGATCCCTGGTGCTAATTGGGTCTATGATGGTCACGTCACAGACATACAACGCCCCCGAGATTTTGTCCCTCATGGTGAAATCAGCGGTCTGGTCCTCCACTAGGCAATACGCTGCAGACTCGCCGTGGACAATAAAATCAGCGTCGTGGGCCATGCTGATGGAGGCGTATCTCAGCTCGTTGTGCATGTTGATGCGGTGCTTGCCTGTTCCGCGTCGGAATAGGTGATTGGGGAGGCGTGGGTCAAGGTTTGCGGTGTGTTTTGAGCAGTCACAGTTTGCAGGTGTTGAAAATGGGAGGCCAAGGTGGAATCTGATTGCGTTAGCAAAGTGTTCAGGGGCCACACGGCGGTTGGGCGCGATGGGTATGGCGGTGATCCATTCGCCTGTAGCGTAGCCAGTCAGTGAGTACATGCGCTGGGTGTGGTCGCACAGCGGGTTTAGGCTCATTTGCCGTGTCTCCTGCACCTGATCCGCGTATTTGCTTCCATGGACATATATCGCCAGTGCGTGCTGCAGCCGTATTCCCGATGGTTCCAGCCGTTCCTTCTCGAGCAGCTCACGCGCATCTATGGGCAAGGACGCTTCACACTCCGCCAACCAGGTGTGGAGTGGGGTGGTTGTGTCACCTGGCAGCAGCATGTGATTCCTGACCGAGGAGAGGCTGTCCGACTCTGTTAGTGCTAGCGAACGCAGTAGGAGGCTGGCTTGGGTGAAGCTTGTAGTGAAGCCGTAGATGCCTACAGTGGGGTCTGCTAGGCCGATTCCGCCGAGAGATGGCAAGAGAGATGTCTGGTTCCACACGCGGAGTTGCTCGGTGTTGGATGTGGGGACACGAATGCCGCACTTTGCCAACCCTTCGGCTCTGTTGATGATTTCGACGTCATCAGGCTGGTGTCGAGGTGGCAGAGGGGAGTTGACCGCATCTTTTGCGTCTGTGTACAGTTGCTCCCATTCGCCGCGTTGAAATTTTTGAAGCCGAGCCTTGATCAGCTTCCAGTCCAGTTGTCTCCGTGAGGCTTGGCGGAGTGTCAGACGCGATAGGAATAACAGCAGTTTCCAACCCGCGACAGATTCTGGATTTCGTGATAGGTGGAGAAGTGGTGTCAGCAGCGTCAGCGAGAACAGCTGGCAGAGTGTTGGGGGGTAGTCGGCGGGCTAGTGGGGATTGGCGACTGTCTCAGAGGGCTGCAATGTCCCAATTTTCGGCTACTGTGAACATGTCTAGCCGCTTCGCAAGTTCCTCTGGCGAAAAGTAACGCGTGTTTGGGGTCTGCTGCATACCCCCTAGTGCGCCAAAAATCTACATTGAGGAAGGGGGGGAGTGCTTGTGTGTTACAAATTGAGGACGGAGTCTATGAAGAATAAGGGCCGAAATATATGTGAATCGTTGGTCGACGAAACATCGATTCCACAAGAAACGCTCTCGACGAAAAAATCATGGTTAGAATGCTCCCAAACTCGATTATGTTGTAGCTCTAGAACGTAGCTAAATTTGAATCGTGTAAAAACATGAAGTATATCTCGAGTTATGATTTTCGGCGCACTAGGGGGTATGTTGCCGCGTAATAAAATCTTCCTTCCTTGTTTTCTGGCAAGCCGCGTCCCTCTCTATTTCTTTCAACTGTCATGATGGCGCAAAACTCGACGTTCGTCCCTCTCTACTTTGGCTGCGGTGTGCTGGTCGTCGTCATGCTTCTCGCTTCCGCCGCTGCGAGTAGTGCCTACCGTGTGGCGTATGGCCAGCGACAGCGTATCGGACGGGTCTTTTCCGCGATGCCTCGCTTGCCTCCGACGAGTCGTCGCCCACGCCAGGCGGCTGCATCTGTAACGTCGAGTCACGCGCGCATTGAGCTGCAACCTTCACAATGTGAGTGTTTTTTTTGTCGCCGAAGGCGGCTGGGCCGCTCAAACCGTAGCAGAATTTCTTGCTCTCCTATATGATGATCGTCTAACAGCAGGCCATTCCGAATGCAGATTTCAATGGGTCCTTGCTTATTACTCTTGCCACAAATGTCGCTCCCCTTCTCCCACTTCGGGGTACAGTAGAACGTGGAGATGCCTAGCCAGGCGACCAGCTCTTGTCGCTGCCCAATTGTCACCTGACGGCTGGCAAGCCATGCTCATCCCCTTCGTCCTGCTTTTCCATCCCCCAAAACTCTCCTCCTCTACCTTGCCCTCAGTGAAAGCGCTTCTGGCCCTGAACCAGGCATTGACTTTGTGGATGAATTGTGCCTCGTCAAACGTGTTCTGTGATGAGTGTGAGAGCGGATATGCGGACTTGAAGTGTAACCAAGACGGCATGGTTACTGAGCTGTAAGCTTTGTCATGAGATCTTGGTGTGCACTCTGGAAAAGGAGTAGCGGGTACATGGGGAAATGTGAGAGTACGACGGCTTATGCTGGCTTTGCTAGCTTGCCCGGACTTTATTATGCTATTTCTAGCTTGGGTTTATTTTATCATGCATAGATATGCTTGATTTCTTAGGTTAGGTGCATTCCTATATTTTGTTATAGTTATAGCACCGAACCAGGTTACGTGTACCGAACTCAAGCTTATTTGGTTCCCACCAAATTGCTTTCTACCGAGTTCGGGAAGGTTCTGTTTGGGACGCTTCGCGACCCTCTGAACATTCGCCTAACACCTGGGTTACTTGCCTTGTGTCGAGCCTATATATAGCCTCGCATTGTACCCAGGTGGATCATTCAATTAAGAACTTCTTTCCTGAACTCGATCCTAGATGCTCACAGGGAAGGAGGTAAGTGGGGATGGGGATAGTGTCAAACTCATATGCTATAGTCTGTGTAGGCTGTAGTGGGGTAGACAATATGGGGTACAACTCTTTTAAGTTTTCCTACTTGTACCCACCTGCTTTCTAGTTCATTCATTCCTCGTTCTTTCACATGGTATAGAGCAGGTTCCCTAGTGGGAACGTTTCCTAGGGCCCACCGAATATCGATTTTTTTTTTCCTGCCCAGAGCGCGCTTCGCCCCTGCCCGAGTCGCGCCCCGTGTCCCTACTCTCCCGTCGCGTCCCCTACCCTTAGTGGCCCGTCGCGCTCCCCTACGGCCCCGTAGCGGCCCCTCTCACGGCCTCTCACGGCCCTTCGCGGCCCCTTCAGGCCTCTCACGGCCCTTCGCGGCCTCCCTTCGCGGCCCCTTCGTGGCACCTTCGTGGCCCCTTCACGGCCCCTTCACGGCCCCTTCACGGCCCCTTCGTGGCACCTTCGTGGCCCCTTCACGGCCCCTTCGCGGCCCGTTCACGGCCCCTTCACGGCCCCTTCGCGGCCCCTTTGCGGCCCCTTCACGGCCCCTTCACGGCCCCCTCGCGGCCCCCTCGCGGCTCCCTTCGTGGCCCCTTCGCGGCCCCGCCCCGTTGCCCGTAGCGACCCCGCCTCGTCGCCCTTCGCGGCCCCTTCACGGCCCCTTCACGGCCCCCTCGCGGCCCCCTCGCGGATCCCTTCGCGGCCCCTTCGCGGCCCCGCCCCGCTGCCCGTAGCGACCCCGCCCCGTCGCCCTTCGCGGCCCCGCCGCGTCGCCCCCGCCTCGTCGCGTCGCCCCTGCGGGACCCGCGGGGCGCGGCTCCTGTGCGTCGCGACGCCCCTGCGGGACCCGCGTGGCGTCACCGCTGCCCGCCGCGGCGCCCTGCCCTAACCCGCGCCCTGGAGCAGCCGCCACTGTAGCAGCCGCCACTGGAGCAGCCGCCACTGCAGCAGCCGCCCCTGGAGCAGCCTCCCCTACAGCAGCCGCACCAGGAGCAGCCCCCACTGCAGCAGCCGCCCCTCGAGCAGCCACCCCTGCAGTAGCCGCCCCTGGAGCAGCCGCCCCTGCAATAGCCGCCCCTGGAGCAGCCGCCCCTGCAGCAGCCGCCCCTGGAGCAGCCGCCCCAGTTGCAGCCGCCCCTGGAGCAGCCACCCCTGCAGCAGCCACCCCTGGAGCAGCCGCCCCTGCAGCAGCCGCCCCAGGAGCAGCCGCCACTGCAGCAGCCGCCCCTGGAGCAGCCACCCCTGCAGCAGCCGCCCCTGCAGTAGCCGCCCCTGGAGCAGCCGCCCTTGGAGCAGCCGCCCCTGCATCTGCCGCGGAGCCCTCGCCCTACAGTGGTAGCGGCCTCGCCGTTGCCGCCGTAGTACACCTGCCCTTCTCGCCACTGGTGCGCACTGACCTGCCAGTACTGCTGTTTCTGCTGCTCTTGCTGCTACTGCTCTTTCTACTGCTACTGCTGCTCCTGGCGTGTCCAGATGCAGCTCCAGCGCCGTCCGAGTGAGTCCCTCACCCCCCAACAGCTTCGTGAGTGGTACGCTAGTTGGGGTTATAG